AAAAAAAAAAAAAAAAAAAAAAAAGAAATCTGACCAAGACCCGTGGTTTTTATTCTTTATAATGACGTGGTAAATCGGGGGAAGAAGATTTATGATAGAAGTAGTCCTGAATATGAGCACTGAACAAAACAATGAAGTTATACTTACCAAATTTCTAAATTGTAATTTCATACTGAGGCATCAAAATGCTTTGTAGAGACCTTTAAGCCAAAAAAGTTTATTTTGAATGGTAATACCTGTTAAAAAATATTTAATAAGTCTGTAATAATTGCAGACTTTGATTTGTGATAGGAGTGTGATCCTCTAGTAAATTGGTGCTTTTTTTTCAGGCAGTAGCAGGTTTGTTGGCAGATGCTCGTTCTTTAGCAGACATAGCCAGAGAAGAAGCTTCCAACTTTAGATCTAACTTTGGCTACAACATTCCACTAAAAGTAAGTTGATGACATTTTGAGGAACCTTTTGGACAGTAATAGAAGTTTATTAATAAGCTCTTCTGTTTCCCTCCGTAGCATCTTGCAGACAGAGTGGCCATGTATGTGCATGCATATACACTCTACAGTGCTGTTAGACCTTTTGGCTGCAGGTATGAAATTTTGTGAATTCAAAAGTCAGATGTGTACTATAGATATTTATGTTCCCCAGCGTCTTAGCCTTTTACATACTTAAAAATAGGAATTCTTGCTGAGAAGTATTAGGGCAGTGATTAAATAAAACAGTGCACGTAGAAATTGTTTGAGGCTGGGTGCCATGGCTCATGCCTGTAATCCCAGTACTTTGTGAGGTTGAGGTGGGAGGATCCTTTGAGTCCAGGAGTTTGACACCAGCGTTGGCAATGCAGTGAGACCCATCTCTACAGAATATTTAAAATTTTAGCCAGCTGCAATATCGCATGCCTGTAGTCACAGTACTTAGGAGCTGTTTGGGAGGATCATTTGAGCCCAGGAGTTCAAGGCTGGAGTGAGCTGTGATCATACCACAGTCCTCCAGCCTGGGTAATAGAGACTCTCCCTCTAAAAAATAAAAAACAAAACAACCCAAAGCGTTTTGAATAGTGAAAAAGACTATATAGATCTGAAGTGATTATAAAACAACTCATAACAATGACTTTAGGCCGGGCGCGGTGGCTCAAGCCTGTAATCCCAGCACTTTGGGAGGCCGAGGCGGGTGGATCACGAGGTCAAGAGATCGAGACCATCCTGGTCAACATGGTGAAACCCCGTCTCT